AATTACTTTATCGATGGGATTCAAAAATATTGACTTCTGACCATCGCACCATAAGAAAATCAAGCTAAATAAACTTTTCATTGTTTTATATGTTTTTTTCTTTCTCACATATTCATGTATATTTATTTTATTTTCAAAGTATGTAATTATTTTAACAAAATATTTTTTGTTATATTCAAACCAATTTGTAAGACATTGAAATAAATAAAATTTTATACACAAATAAAGGTAATTTTTGTGTATATTTATAAGTTTACACACATATTTGGATAAATTTCAATATTTTTAGTGGTTGTTTTGATAAAGTTTGAAAAGGGGGTAAATTTAGAAAGTGATATTTTTAAAGGGGTATTTTTTAAATTCTCCCAATATCATTCCTATTTTTATCATTAACAATATTATTGTTTTATCAAAAAATACTTAAAAGTACTAAAGAAAACTATCAAAATTGGTTAATTGAACAATTAATCAACGAATAAATTCAAAAGATATGGATGTATGCTTCTATTGTATGATTTAAATAAATAACATGTAAAAAAATCATAAGCATTTAAATTTATTTAATCTATTTTTTATATGTAATAAATAAATTAAAATAATTAAATAAATATACAACAACCCGCGCATATGCGCGGGACATTACCTAGTGAATATTAATAATGAACTTTCTGTAAGATAATTAAATATAGACTAGAACTTTGGTCAAAGGTTTTATAACTTATTTAGATTCCATATGTTATTTTCTATATTGTTGACCAAATTTTTTTTTTAACATATAAAGTTATTATTTTTTTAAAAAAGTTTCAAATACCTTTAGTAATTTCGTATCAAATAGCTCTGCATATAATTTCGTAAAATATGTAGAAAACATATTATTACATTTACTAATTTCGTATATAAAATATAAATAAAAATTCTGTTTTAAAAATTTCAACGATTAATATATGTTACGGACTTCTTAAATATGTTGCGATCATACATTATTTATATCATGTGTCTAGAATATCTACCATATGTGCTACCAAATATGTTGGGCCCAAAATCTCCTCCCTTGGGGCTCGAATTCCATTTCAAAGGTCCATTACTAAAGAAAATGAATATGTGTCTCGCGAGGTGTTGGAGAAAGGGAATATCAAATTTTCAACGTATTTAACCACATCAAAGGATAGGAAAGTGAAAAATACATTAATGAGCTCCGAATAGAGCAGTTTACCTTAGAAGAAATATTTTAAGGAAGATTATTCGAACTAAGGGACAAACATTATATGTTTTGTTTTATCGTATACAGTTATTAATTAAGTAGTTGACATTATGTACACCTTTTTTTGTAGGGTGTTTTGTGTTAAATTTTACTCCTGCTTAGTTTTATTCACACTACCAGAAAACAACTGACAAAAACACCAACGTTTTTAAATTCACCGATATTTACCGACATAAAACTGATCAATTTTTGACGAAAATATTTTTTATCCGTTGATAAATTACTGATATATATAAAACCATTGCTAATTATTTACCATTTTGACAAATTATTTACTTACAGATTTAAAACCATTATTCCATTCAAACTGCAGCTTTTACCGACCCCAATCTTGCAAATCTTCGGGATTTATCTGCACCTTCATATGCTTGACAAAATTAGCAGTTTTGGAAGAGCAATATTTTGAGCAAAAATCATGCGTTACTTGGCTGCGGTGTGGAGATAAGAACAATTCTTTCTTTCACCGGGTATCTTAAGACAATGCTTCTCGCAACGACATCTGGTCTCTTACCACAGCCACTGGTGAGATTTTAACTACACCAGAGGATATAAAGGCAGAGGCAGCCCACCTTTTTTGGACCTTGCTACAGCAAGAGGATGCATATTTCATACGGGTTCCTCATGTTGTTCTCTTTGATCTTCTTGACTACCGCTGCTCAACGGAAACCTGTAACATGCTCACGTCTCCTATTCTTGAACAGAAGATCTGCCAAGCTCTTTTCTCCCCCCCCCTTTATGCAAGACTTCTGGGCCCGATAGATTTACTAAGAAGTTATATATTGCTGTCTGGAGTGTTATAGGCTCAGGTCTCATTGTCGCGGTGCAATCTTTCTTTGCGTACGGCCTCATACCGAAAGCTGTTACTGCTACTTTGCTCGCTCTCGTTCCAAAGGACCCGGATTCTACTTCGGCCACCAGGCGAGACTACCAACTTATATCTTGCTGTAATGTGCTGTATAAAGTCATCTCTAAAATCTGGGCAAATCGTCTGTAGTGCTTTTGCCGGATTTTATTGAGCCAAATCATAGTGCTTTTGTTAAAGGTCGTATGCTATTGGAGAATGTGTTATTGGCAACTGAGCTCGTCAAGGATTACCATAAGGATACCATTTCCCGTCCGTGTGCCATTAAATTTGATATTTCAAAGGCATTCGACACGGTTCAGTGGTCTTTAATAGAGACAATTTTCAGAGCTTTGGGTTTTCCCACTTTGTTTACTCACTGAATTTTATCTTGTGTTTCTACAGCTTATATTTAAGTGGTCGTAAATGGAGATCTAGAGGGGTTCTTCGGGAGCTCAAAAGGAGTTTGTCAAGACTACTCTCTCACACCATACTTGTTTGCTATGGTGCAGAATGTTCTCTCTCAGTTGATTAACATAACAGTTCTAATGGGTTCATTGGACGGCACCCGCGATGCGACCGATTTATGTCTCTCATCTAAGTTTGCGGATGATATTTTGGTATTCACGGACAGCTTTCTAGCTCTTTCCGCACTATATTACAGGTCTTTGAGGATTTTTCCAAAATATTTGAGTTACGTATTAATGCTAGCAAGTCGACGAATTTTGTTGGAGGTCGAGATCATTAAGCAACCTTA